GCGAATAGCGTCGCACGCGCTACCATACTCGGGTGGAATCGAAACTCAGTTTTCGTGCGCAGCTCGATACGTGAATATTTCGCGGCTGAATGATTGTTCGACGCTGATTTATCACACCACACACACACAACACATCACACACACACACTGTCAAACCGCACGCCTGCCCTCGGCCCGACGGAGGCGCCGCACGAGACACACCTATCAAACACTACACACAGCCCGGACAACACGCAGATGCGAGGCACGCATACACGATAACAACAACACCCAGATCATACACACACACACACACACACACACACAACCACTACAATTACACACGGACAACACACACACACACGACACACACCACCACAACACACACCGACACAACATGACACACGCAGAACACAACAGACACACACAATCACAGCAACTACGTTGCAGTGTTCCGTTACTTTACACGCAGAATGCCGCAGAGAGCCGTATCGAGAGTTACAACCATCGCCGCGGCGATTCACAACATGTTCCCGTCACTGTTTTTAACGCACACGGTCTGCTTCTGTGATGATGATGCATTGCCTTACGGGCCAGACAGTGTTGTACAGGTCTCATGTTGTGTCGTGTGCTGCGGAGGGACCCTGGTGGGCCGCGTGGATGCCTGGTGTGTTTGTTCGTTGTGGGTTCGTGTGTCGTGTGCGTCGCTGCGTTGCGTGTGTTGTGCCTGTGTTGTGTGTGCGCGTTCGCGTGTAAGTGTGTGCGCCGTTTCGTGTCGGTTACGTGGAGTTCTCTCGGTTATGCTTGTTTGTGTGGTGTGGTGTTCGTTGCCGGTGTCTCCGTCGCGCGCGGACTGTGTGTGCCGTACATTGCCGTGCGTGCGTGTGTTTGTAGTGAGTCGTTGCGTGGTGCGTAGTGTGTTTTGTGCGTGTAGGTTGTGCTTGCAAGTGACTTCGTTTGGTTGACCTTGCTGATCGCTTCAGTGACGCTCCGCTGCGCGCGGCTCGTGCGGTGAGAGAGACTTGTGCGCTAATTGCCGTGCGTGTGCTTGTGTGTGTGTTTGTTGCTGCTCGCCTGGTCGTGTGAGGCCGGTCTGCTCTCGTGCCGTGCGTGGGAGGCCACTAACATAACATATGTGTATCGACATTGGCTGTTACATATTGCGTAACACGCAGTTTGTACAAAGAATTTAAAACTAAACTCCTTAGGTTTTCTAGAACACCGTGGGGTTTCTGCGCGCGGCTGTGTTGTCGTAATCTTCGTATACGTAAAGGATTCGCTTGCTGTGCATGGTTCGATTAAGATTCTTGTGCGGCTTTGATTTGACATCTGCTGTCACTCTCGCTCCCTTCGTTTTTTCTACCACTTTTCTTTCTCTCTCGGATGTTCCATTGAATTCTTGCTCGTGGTTAGATGTCAGGTTGCCTGTTGCGTAGGTCCACCCTCTGTCTCCTCATTTGGTTCAACAAGCCTTGTCATTTGCTCGTAAAACGACAAATGGATCCGTGAGGCTGTTTTTGTGACTTGTAGTCGGTTTGTTGGTATTGGTGGTGATAGCTGATGGTGCGTGTGGTGTCTCTCGTGTGTGTTGTGTGATTTTTGGGTTCGTGGTGCTGCGGACTATACCAATTTTCGAAGTGTTCGTACGATGCACTGTTTTGGAATTTTTTTTCTCTTATGTTTGCCTTTTTTTCCCGATTTTTTTTCCATAGTTTTTTGTGCTGCGATTTTTTTCTTTCCGATTTTTCTCCTTTGTTTGTGTTTTTTTGTAGTGTGATGCACACTCTCACTCATACGCTGACACTCATAAGACTATACACTCGCGACACTAGGACGTCCGGGCTCCGGAGTGTGGCGGATCGGACTCGGACTCGGGGGGGGGTGGGCGACGGCGATTGCCGTCGTGCGGACCTCGACTACACTGAAACGGCCGCGCGCCGCGGGGGGGGCAAATGCCGGAGCATCCGAACCCAAATGCTGGGGCTGGGTGAAAGACCAAAGTTTATATCTCAACATGTGTCCAAGCGTCATAGCCTCGAGCAGGAGTGTGGGGGGGCCTCTGAAATTTCGAACAATTCTAAACATCAAAGTGAAACAAAGC